CCCACACTTTTTTTTTTAACTAGATAGGCTCCAAATTTGAGTGTTAAACACAGGTCCTTATCATCAGCTGAAGTCAGATAGCATAGATCTGTTGAAGTTACTGGACCTATGTTTTGGATCTTTTTTGTTTTAATCTACATGCAAAGTTGTACTGGTTTCAGTAAATCTGTTTAACATCACAGCTTGTTAAACTATTTGGAGTTTTTGTGTAGAATAAGCCCTTGGTTGCACAGTAAGCAGTTTAATTTGATTATTTATGACTTGATTAATAGTAAATGTGTCAGTTTTTAATCAGCTAGATTAACCAATGATTTAGGGTCACCCTGAAATTGAGTTTCCTCTTGATTCCCAGGTATAAAAAAAACTTACGCAAAAATTTCCATGCAGATCAACAAAGAAATAGTTAGACCAGAATTCTTGCACATTGTGTAAAATACAGTTCAAACAGCAGTAAATTAAAGAGCAATAGAAAAGTTTGAGCTGACTTGTGGGAACACAGAGAGAATGGTGATTATTACCATGGACATATTTTAGCAAAGGGTCTCTTGAATAGTAACCTTTATAAATGAAACACTGCACTATAAATAGGGTAAGATGGAAATGGCTTTGTTTGTGCATTGCAGCCTTTTCTGTAAGTGTATTATGCCAGCAGTTCAACAGCGTAGTTTTGCAGATTTTCAAATGTTACCTTTTCTGTTCTGGTTTTTTTTTAAATTGGTTGTGGGTGGGTGTAGGAGTGGAAAGCGGTGACCCGGCTGTTTGTGGTGGGAAGTTGGCTGCAAAGGGAGCTTTGAGGGGTGATATTTTCTCTTCAAAATAACGCAAAGCCTTTTTAAGATCAGCTGTCCAGCAGGCTGTGCGTCCAATGTAACACCCAGCCTGTGATAGCAGGGCAGACTCAGTGGTTTGTATTTTAATAGTGAAAAGGCATGTGGGGAGTCTGGGCAAGACCAGACTTGATTTGTTCTCCTTCCCTGGCAGTGAGCTGTTTATATTTAACTTTGTCTGGGGAGTATTGACACATGTGGAATGCAAAGCTTACTAACCATTATGCTGTGAATGACATCATTGTAAGGAAGCTGACTACTTCTCTGTTTTTGAGGGGTTTTTCTCCCTTTTATTTTCCCATATCCAAAGAAGGGATTGTTTGTTAGTTTTTTTGACCCGCTGCAACTCTCAGTGTTGGTAATGTGCCCTGATATAACTACAGGCAGCTCTGCACAAAGTGCCAGCTATTATTCTATTATTCTAATGTGTATGCACAAAAAAGCATTATAAGGTTGCTTGGAAACCCTGGGGTGTAGCACTGGAAATGTCCAAACTTTTCACTTAGTTTTCATTAGCCAAATATTATTTTCTTTAAAGTGCCTTGAATCTTTGTTCAGTATTAATATATAAGTTGATAAACACCCAGAAAGCTTTTATCAAATATTTCTTTTGGTTACCTTTTCCTTTTGAAAGGTGTTATTGCCTCTCAGCAGCCACATATATCAGGGAAAAGCGGACAACTTGGATACTCACAGATTCATGGGAAGAGTGGTAGCGTGGATTCTGATTTACAGTTTCTAGGATTAAATAATCATCGGCAAGATAAAGGTACATGGACTACAGCCAGACTAAATCTGTGCATATCACTTTGAAAATATCCTGTTTTCCTGTACTGGGCCTCTTTAGTAGGTAGATTGTTCTGTGCCATGAACCATGTTCTTTACTTAGAGCCACAAACTGCCAACACTTTATACAAGGTATTCTGTTGTAGAAATGGTCTGAGGTAGATGGCTTATGGAATTTATACAGCTCAGTAATATATTGTTCCAATATTGGTGCACTAATAGTAATTTTTGGCTTCTGTGTGGTGCTCTTCATTCGTAGATGTCAAATCACTAATCCACCTTTCTTTCACTTCTTTGCACTTATGTATATAACTTGTTGATATAGCTATAAGACTGTACTGTAACACAGACCCCAGCAAGGCCAAGTTGGCTTTGAGGAGTAGAGTGTCTAGGTGGAAGTTAGTGGAAAGCTTTTTTAATGTATATCCTTGTGCTTAACTTGTTCTTCTATAGTAGGAACTTGAAGTCATTCCTGTCTGACAGTGGACTGGTGATCCCCATACAGTTTTTAGTAAACAGATATCCAAGCCATATTTGTGTACCATTGCGTTGGGCATTAATGGCAATGTACTGGTGAAGTTTAGGACTGGAATAGATGTCTTCTAATGCCTAAGGACAGGTAAGGGCTGAAACGCATCAGCAGTGCAGAGCATAGCAGTTTGCCACCTGTTCCTGTTCTGTGAACGTGGCAGGGCTTGAACAATTTAGTAGAGACGTAGGTAGTGAAGGAGTGAGCTTGTAGCCAGTGGGTGAAATAAAAGATAACAGTGGGGATGCAGGGCTCCTAGGAAGTGCCTTGTGGACTAGCTCATCTCTCCATCTCACTGCAGCTCTTTAGAAGGATGCTGGGCGCTATCCAGTCCTGCTAGAGGCTTTATTTTCTTACCTCCATTTGGCTAGTTGCTATCTCATGGGCATGATAACGTATACTGCTGCTGAAAAAGTTTTCTATCCTGCCTCCATACCATGGCATCTTAAGCTGCATTCTGCCCCTACCTTAGTTTCTAGGACACTGCCAGGCACTTCTCTGCCCTTCTTGTTGCCTCCTTCTCTGAAAACAACTCCGGCACTAACCTCTGCAACTACTTATGGCTTTATTCAGCAGCACCAGAACACAAGTAGCCTGATTTTTGTTGGCTTCACTTCGCATTGAAAATGGCTGTATTTGTCAGTTTTAGGCAGCCTTGGAAAGTACAATTACCAGGTAGAGACCTTGGAGATCTTGAAACGCTGTCTGACTCATCCAGCGTCTTTCTGCACTACAGACACAACTGAGTCAAGGGGAGAGTTTGTAGATGCTTTGATTCATTTGCAACATAAGTGATTGACTCAAAGATGTAGCTTAAGCAGGTGCCAGTTTTGACCACAACTTTTCCATTTTTGGTAAAAGGAAAGATTGGAAACAGTTTCTCACTCTGTTTACTTTTCCTGTCTTTCATTTTGCAAATACCAGTTTGCAAAACAAAACACTTTTCCTTCTGGTGTTTCCAAAGGAGCTGCAGTACATAGTATTTTCCTTTTTTGATTTGAATGCATGTGTGTAAAATGTCTGCTACTGCAAATCCAGCCTTCGGTGCAACAGGCCACAAAACTACATTGTATGTACTTGCCTAATTCCTAGATGCCCTTCACTTGCAACCAGCTTGGTAGATGTGTTATTTTGCTGTAAGCTATTCCTATAATAGTGTATTCAATAGTGCTGTCTTCATAATGGCACTCTGTTGAATCTAGTGTTTTGATTGTTTCCGATTTGTATGTCAAAGGAGGTGATTATCTTGGATTTGAATGTGGTTATCACATTTGCAAAGAAATGCTCGATTCCTCTTTGAAAAATAGCTTTTGCAGAGTTTTAAAAAATCTAATTGTAAGATAAATTAGATAAAGGGAGAAGTGAAATGAAAATGCTGTTGGCTTTGATGGAAATGAATAAGCACAAATAACAGCCTTTTATTTTTCTTATCAGTTTGTGCCAGCCTAAATTTTACCAACAAGACCCAGCGAGCTTTTTGCTGCCCTGCAGAGCGTACTTTGTCCTTTTCAGGTTCTAATGCAAAGCAAGGGACCTTCATTCTTCCATCGTATCCGCTCTCATCACCCAGAAACAGTCCAAAGCACACATCCCCTCCTAGTGATTCTCCAAAGAAGCCTCAAGAGCATGCCGTTAACTTCTCAAACTCCTGGCCTCTCAAGAGTTTTGAAGGCCTGCCTAAGCCCAGTCCACAAAAGAAGCTTCTCAATCAAAAGGCAGGAGACAAAGCAGGTAAAAATGGTGCTCAGAACAAAAGTTTGTGTTCATGTTTTCAACAAGTGGCCGCCATGAACTGCAGGCAAAACTTGCATTTGTGTAGAAAAGTAGTCTCTTGCTAACCTTGGGAAATATGTCCAGGTACCAAAACTATAGCCCTGGGTGACAATTTTCGTGGAGAGAGCAAGGACTGAATGGAGATGAGGACTGAACTCTTTCTCGCCCCAGTCAGGGTTTAGGCATATTATGCTGTGTGTAAGGATAGATTGTCCACGCAGTACCAGCCCTGCAGGAGAAGATGTCTTCACTCT